CCCCTCCCCGCCCTTCTCTCCCCTCCTCCTGTAACCCTGACCCCACATCCCATCCCACTTTCCCTCCCCAGAGACTTCAGATTCGCACCCTGTCTGGTGCGCCCTTTATTTAAAGGGTTTGATGCCCAGTTCCAGAGTAGTCAGCTGGGAATGACACTGATGATAGGAGCCACTGAACGCAATCCGCTCTTCTGCCGGCCCTGGATGGAGGGCTTTTGTTCAGTGCTGCCACCGAGGGCACTGAGGGCCATCGGATGAGTGCAGTCCCTGCAGTCAAGTGGCCGACTGAGATGTGGCAGGTCAGAGACACGTGGGGTGTCCGCCAGGCTCCAAACACTTGGGATGTTTTCGTGGTCTTGGTCCTTAGAGTGATGAAAACAGAAAGCTCAGCCTCTGTCAGTTGTTTAAGCACTGAGCTGCTCAACACATGGTCAGCAGTTTGAACCCACCAGCTGGTCTGAGGGAGAAGATGAGGCTGCCTGCTTTGAGAGGACTGCAGCCTTGGAGATCCTGTGATCTCTACACCCTGGGAGTGCGGTGGTTACATGCTGGGTTGCTGACCGCAGTCATCAGTGTGAAGCTACCAGCTGCTCCAAGGGAGACGTAAAGAGTTCCTGTCTCCGGAACCCACGAGGGCAGGTCTACCTGTCTTGTGGGGTCACTATGAGTCAGCATCGACTCAAAGGCAGTGAGTGTGGTTTTGGAGACCCCAAGGAGCGGTTCTACGTTGGTCAGAATCGACTCTGACAGTGGGATGGGGTTGTTGACTTACATGAGGCTTCTGTGGGCCTCATGTCAGCACTGTTCAATAGGAACAGAGTGCAAGCTTCTGTAAGCGGATGTTTTCCATTAGAAAAAAAAGTAAATCAGTTTTGAATACAGAGGCTGCCTGAAATTAACTTCAGTACATATCTGAACTATCATTTGAACACTATAAAAATAATTGGTGAAGTATTTTTCAGTCATGACCAAAGATGCTCTTCCCCTCCACTCAGACACCAACACCCCCACCCCACCCCCGCCCGCGCCACAGAGGATGAGAAAGACGGGGGTGATTTTTAAATTGTGCTCTGCACTTTGGCAATCTGGGTGAGACACATTTCAAGTGCTCAGCAGTCACGTGGGATTTCTAGGTCCCCCTGCTTTTGACCCGGATGGGGCCAGCCATCTGGACTGGCTTCTGACTGGAAGAGACTGAGCTCATGCTCCAGCTTGACCTTGCTCACTCAGGGCCATCGAGTCAATCCCAGCTCACAGTCACCCTCTCGGAGAGAGCAGGGTTGCTCCTGTGGGTGTCCGACCTTGTAAATCTTTTCGGGCACAGGTAGAAAGCCTCGTGTTTCTCTGGAGGCTTGAACTGCTGACCTTGCGGTTAGCAACCCAATGCTTAACCATTAAGCCATCAGGGCTCCACTCCTCCTATTTGGCCCTCAGCCACCCTAGTCTCTTGCCCCAGATTTCCTACCTGCACTCCCTGCCTTGCCCCGCCCCCCTTGTTCATTGTAGGCAGTTTTGTTACTAGGTAGTTCTGAAAACTACTCTTTCCTGTTTAAAAGCCCGTGGATTTTTGGCCAGACCCCTTGTCAGAAGCTCCCTCAAAGTTTGGCTCCTGCCCACCCCTCTAGCTTGTTGCCCCATAGTCTTCCAAGTCCAGAGCCATGGGAACTGCTAGCCATTCTGTGAATGCTCTCTGGTCCCTGGCACCCCTCTCTCCCCACCTTGGAGCCCCTACAATTCTGCACAGCACTGAGCTGCCTCCTCTTGACTCGTCGACTCCCTCTGCTGGGCATCCCGTAGTATGCGCTGCATAACCACACTAGCCCCTCTCACATGGCTTTGAAATGGGTGGGTCTCTTAAGGGTCAGTCTTGTGTGGACCAGGAGTTCCCTGAGGATAGGGACTAGACTGCCTGCCCTGGACCTTGTTTTGCAAATGCTACGTGCAGACACCCACATGCACGAAGCTGGGAGCTCAGCAGATGTTTGAAGAATGATGCGAGGCCCCATCTTTCCAGCCGGCTACCTTGCCCAACTTCCCTCTCCCGTGCTCTGGATCCCCTAAACCAGGGTGGTCAAATAAAATGAAAATAGAAAAAATTGTTAGGAAGAAAATAGCGCTTAGGGGAGATCGAGGCAACACTGTGCATACAATTCCCTTGTTATATTTTATTCCAGAGCATCGTGGGCCACAAAAAATTACCTCGGGGGCCGCAAGCAGCCTACGGGGTGCCAGTTTGACACCCCTGCCCTAAGCCGCTCAGCTTGCCCTTTGAAGAAGCCAGAGCGTAGTTTCCAGGTCCTAAGTTCTATCAAAGTCAGAATCGCCGGTGGCTTCTTGGTGCTTCCACAGGAAGCACTGTGAGGCTGGGACTCCCTCTGCTCTTCACTTGACAGCGATTAAAGCCTGTTCTGTCCATGTATTATCCCATAGCTAAGACAAGGGGCTCACAAAATATCCTTGCTCCGCTTTCTGTACATCAGAGGTGAGCAGGTGTGAAACATTGCGATACGGAGTTGCCTAGTAAAGTTGCAGTGATAGTTTTTATGCTACAAACCACGTGAGAAATCACGTCTCTGAGAGGTCAGCATTCATCAATATTCGACAAAGTGACTCTTTTTAGCACCCTCCATCCAGGGACTACGATGTCACATCAGATCCACCAGGCCATTCTACTTTGAATGCCCCAAGCACAGCGGCCTCCCATGTGACCCCACCCACACGTGTGACTCTGCCTTTGAGTTCACTGATTCTTTTCTCCTCTTAACTCAGGGAAGGAGCGGCTGTGTTCTGGAATGTGAAAGACAAAACTGTAAGTATAAATCACATGAAGACAGACGACGTGTAAACTTTTGTTTGCCGCCAAGAAATTGTGCAAAGCATAATGGTTAGTGCAGAGGAAGGGAGCTCTTAGAAGAGGAATTGACAGTCCACCACTGATGATTCACTCAGCACTGCCGATTTATTCTGACAGTGTCGTTTTCCAAAATAATCCTGTCTTTGGGCTTGTTTCTAGCCGCCCACATGTTCCATTCTCTGGGCGCACGCTGCCTTGTGGCATCAAAGTGGCTCAGAACCGTGCCAGCCACTGTGAAAACAGAAGTAAGTAAATTTGCATTCAATAATTCACAAAAAGGATAAAGTGCGTGTCGTTCCTTTAGAACTTGGCAACTGTAGGAAATCACTTCCTCACCATCCCAGTCGGGATGTTTGCTGCCACCTTTTGAGAAGTAACCAAATGCATCAACGTTTGTGTACATCAAAACGGCTCATAGTTAACCCAATAATTTTACTCCCAGAGCGTCACCCGTGGGAGAGACTGCCAGTTACCCAGGGTAAACCATGGTAGAAAGCCGCCATCCAAACACTAATGCTAGCACAGCCAGAATATGCAAGAATAGTTCGTTAAATTTATCCAAGCGCAAGGCTGCGTGATGCAGTTACGTTACAAGGTCAGATGACAACATCAGACCACTCTAAGACCAGGGCTGGTTTGAAGATAGACTTCCTATAATCTCAGTTTTACTGAAAGGTACACAGATGTGCTGGGGACCTCTTGGGGAAGAGGAAGTTTAAATGACCATAACAAAGCTTTCTTCAAATTCAGTAATAAATAACAAAAACAAAACTCCACAAATCCTGACTTTTTTCAAGACTGCTTTCATAAATGAAGTTTGGATTCTAAAAGCAGAGAACAGTTTAGCAGCATTTATCAAATTCCTAAGTGCGCGTCTTTTAATCTGACAATCCCTAAAAGCAGCCTTCACAAGTTCGCGCACGGGAGGGTGGCTTGATGTGGCTTCAGTCCGGTGAAGAGCAGACATAGCCGCCTGCTGACGGCTTGGAAGGTGGTGAACAAGCCACGGCGCCTTCACTACAGAGACCAGCGCTGAGGAATGAACGCTCCTGGGCATAGCGGGAGCCCATGTGATGTAAAAGACAAATACGCCTGCAGGAAGCCACGCAGAAGAGTATGCACCCCAATTCTTGGTGGTTGCTTGGGGGGGCGGGGAGCAGGGCTTCAGGAGGGCAGAGAGAAACCTTCATCCCCCGGGTTGTCTAACAGGAGGGGGCACCGTGGTTAGGCACCGGCTGCTAACGGAAACATCTGTGGTTCAAGTCCCCGAGCTGCTCCCCGGCAAGAGGAAGTTTGCTCCCATAAGGATGTAACCTCGGAACCCTACTTAGGGTCTCTCTAGTTGGGATGGACTCAGTGGCAGTGTGTGGGTGTTGTTTAAAAGGAGCCTTGGGGGGGGGGGCACAGTGATTGACCCTAAAGAGGGCTTCTCACTGAAAGGTCAGTGGTTCTGACCCACCAGCCACTCTGCATGAGAGACGTGAGGCCTTTGGCTCTCCTACCGATGGACAGCCTCAGAAATACAGGGAGAAGTTCTCCTCAGTCCCATAGAGAAGCTGTGAGTTGGAATCAACTCTTAATATTATTTTAGAAAAGGAAAAACAATTGGATCAAAATCTGTAATTGGTGGTTTTCTTCGAGTGGTGAGATGCATCAATCGGTGTATTGCGAGCCTCTGCATTTCCACCTGGAAGGCAAATGGATGTGTCACCGGGTCCCTCTGACGCTTAACTTACTTTTTGGTTTTGTCTTCCTTAAAAAAACAAGCACAGAAGAGATGTCATTTATTCGGTGGAATGACAAATGGTAATGGCCAGGAGTGTGCCTGCAGGCTTGAATGTGGGAGTCCCTTATAACCTGAGAGACACGTTCCTCTCCTTCCAGATGAAGCATGTGATGCAAGTCCTGGAGAGACACGAGATTCAGCCCTACGAGGTTGCCCTGGTGCACTGGGAGAACGAAGAGCTGAGCTACAGCAAAGCAGAGTAAGCAGAGGAAGGCGCGCATGGGGAAGCGGGAGAGAAGACATTGTTCATGGACTTGGAGCCTGGCTTTAAGGACAGCTTTTAGTACAAAAATACAGTCTAAGTACCATCATAATGACTCCTAGATCAGTCTAACTTCACAAACCACCCACAACTTAAAACAAGTAGCTGGACTAGCCCCAAATAGCTAAGCAGCCTGACCCAGTAACAGCCTGCCTGCGTCCGATGGACCCCACACGGGCATTCCACGCTTTCCCGTATCATGGGGATTGTGAAAAGGAAGGGTAGCCAGGGGGAGCTAAGAGAGTCGCTGTCACAACAGAGGAGCCTGCAGGACTTCGGAGCTAGTAACTCACGTAGCCCTTTCCTGGGAGCACTTTCCCTGTCTGGAGAACCTGCTGAGGCTCCTGTCTACCCCGGCTTCCCCCCACCCCCGCCCCCGGCATCCCAGTCTGTTACCTTTCACCTACTTACTGAACCAGTTTTTCCTGTGTTCACTACTATGTGAACATAGGACGTGTGCACGCACACGCAGCACGGCGCGTGGCACCTTTGGTTGTTTCTGGGGGATTCGTTGGTAGAAATGGGATAACTTGCGCCGAGCACTCTGAGAACCTCTGTACGCTTCATGATGGAAATTGTCAGAATGATCCCAAGAGTGGTGAGAAGGTGACCTTGCGGGGAAGCTGCACGGCACGGAGAAGATGCTCTGTTTTCCCTCCACAGGGGGCAGTCCCGACTCCACAGGGGGGAGATCCGGTTGAATTCTGAGCTGGACGTCGATGACACCACTCTGGAGAAATTTGCCTTCTCAAACGCACTCTGCCTTTCAGGTAAGAGACACCGTGTTCAGTCCACCTGGAGCAGCTTAAGTACTTCATGAGGCTTTGAACATGTTTCATAGGCGGCTTTATAAAAACATTCATCTTTTTCTCCAAGAGAACCAAAAATAATGCGGTTACTTGTATAAAACGTGTTTGAAGTGGCGCAGGCCTCGTTGCGGGGGGTAGTAGCAGGGCCTTCGCCCCTCTCCTCTCTGCGTGGCTCTTGGCCTCGCATCTCCTGCAGCTCCACAGACAGCCGCCGTCAAGCTGTCACTCTCTGGGTGTCAGAGTAGCACTGGGCTCCCCCGGGTTTCCGGTGGCTGGTTTTCACAGAAGGAATTCACCAGGCCTTTCTTCCAACGGGCCTTTGGGTGGCCTTAAACCTCCAGCCTTTCTGCGTGCAAGCCCTGTCTAATGGGGCCCCGGCCTTGGGGTGGAGAAATCGAGAGCCTCGTGTCTTGGGGTTTTGTGCAGGAAAGGGACAGAGTCACCGTTGCTCTGAGTTGTTTCTGAAAGAACTGTGCATGGGGCAGGGCTGTGGCCTGGCTGCTCCTCAGGCTGTTGCAGGCTTCAGTGTACCAACTTCACCCACAGCCCCGGCGGTCGGATGGGGAGCCCGCCTGGAAGCCCTCTTGCCGCCTGCAGAGCTGCCTGGGGTTTTCCGAGCTAAGTGATTAGAAAACCAGGACTGGAACCAAGCATCGTTTGGGTCCCCAGCACGGCTGGGGAAGCTGTTCCCAGTCCTCCTTTCCTGCCACTTTCACCGTGTTCTTCCGGATAGTAAGGAGCTATTCTTACATTTCTCTTTAAATTTGTAGTACATTTGCCCTTTAAACTACTGATGACGGGGCAGTAGAGGTGCTGTGCAAGTGCACATTTTTGTGTAAGTGAGAACATGACAAAAGGGAGGAGCCCTGGTGGCTTAGTGGCTACGCACTGGGCTGCGATCCCCATGGTGAGCAGTTCGAAACCACCAGCAGCTCCTCAGGAGAAAGACTGGACTTGCTACTCCTGTGAACAGTCCGTCTCAGAAACCCACAGGGGGTCCTGTGAGTCAGCACTGGGGATGGCAGTGAGTCTGGAGTTGGGGATGATAAAAATGCCGTTATCTGTTATTTATTTATTTTCCCTCAGTGAAACTGGCTATTTGGGAAGCGTCACTGGATAAATTTATTGAATCTATTCAGTCAATTCCAGAGGTAATTATGTACATTTTATGCTGTTTTCAGAGACTGATTTATGTTTGGGGAAAAGAAACAAATTTCTCGATTCCTGAAGGAAGACAGTTAAGAGAACTGTCCAGTGAGGGTGAGCATTAGAAAAGCAACACTGAGTGTAAGGCCAGCGGACGGCCCCCACACCAGCCCCTACTGCACATACAATATTCCACTTCAGAAAACGGGGGAAAGAAGAGTGAGACAACATACTGATCTTAAAAAAACAACTGAAATTCAAATAGCTACCTTTCTCTGATAGTGTAAGTTTGAGTGTCACTAATTAAAGGACAAGAAGAACGCTTCCTCTCTGAGATTGTAGCTGTGTTTCTTGATTCTTTCGGAAGTGTCTTTGCTGAAATGCAAGGAGAATGGCATGAAGGGTGCATCTGAAGCTACATTAAGAGTGCAGCCTGCACTAAAATCTCTAACTTGGTGTTCACCGTGAACACAGTCTAACTGTCTAACTGAGAAATGACACCCTGCCTTTCCGAGATTAGATAGAGAGATGCATCCTGGGAGATGCTGGTGCAGAGGGCACTGGAAACAGGACTGCAGAATGAATTCCTAGTCAGCGGAGACCTGCAGCGGAGAGGCAGTCATCCGAAGGAGACCAGCACCATGGGATTAACATGATGCCATTATGGAATTTAATCGATGGGCCCAGGACCTAGTGGATATATTTTCTTTAAAAACCTTTTTTTTTTTTTTTTTGTCAAATAGGCTTTAAAAGCTGGGAAGAAAGTGAAACTCTCTCATGAAGAGGTCATGCGGAAAATGGGTGAACTCTTTGCCCTGAGGTAAAGATCTCTCTGTAAATGAAACAATTCATAAACAAACATCCGCACCGGATGAAAACGAGCTGTGTGGTAAAGAGCCAACATGAGCAGCCCTGGGGGACTGGCAGCCTTTTCTCCTCTGCACCGACTCCGGCCTGTGTGAGGAGCTCTGGGGCTAAGCCTCATCCTCCTGGAAGAAATCCTGCATGACCCAAGAGGTCACTCTCGCTGCCGACCAGTCTGTTCCGCCTCAGAGCAGCCCTGTGGAACCTGAGTAGCACCACCCCGGTGGGTTTCCGAGCCTGGAAACCTTTATGGGAGCAGAAAGCCTCATCTTTCTCCCATGGAGCAGCTGGTGGTTTTGAACGGCTGACCTTGCAGTTAGCAGCCCAGTGGGTCACCAGGGCTCCCAAGAGAGGCCATTGGTCTAGGGTAAACCCACACCAGGCAGGATCATAGCTGTTCTTGAGGTTAGAAAGACAGGTGCCTTCTGGTTGTTGGGCCCTGGGAAGTTTCAGTAGAAGTTTATCTCAGCACCCTGATGCCAACTAGACTTCAGTGACTTTGGGAGGTTCTCGGCCAATGTCAGAGAACTCCACAGCGAGATTCCCCACACCGTTCACGGAGCCCACTGGTCGGAACGGTGTTTCGTGGACTCTGAAAACCCAGGAAGATGCTCCAAGCAAGGAAAACTGCCAGGTCAGCTGCGCCCCACGTCCAGGCTCTTGCTCCCCCAGGTTGCCATTCACAGTTCTGGAAATCACTCTTCTCATCTTATTTCAGTGTCAGCTCTCTCCCACTCTCTATTGTGCATGCACACTACACAAAGCATACAAGAAAATCATTGTCAAGGTCTCAGCAATGCCGTCTTTTCTGCTGGCTGTGGCATAATGGTTACACATTGGGCTGCGACCCACAAGGTCCCTAGTTCAAAACCAGCTCAGTAGAAAGACGGGGCTTTCTGGGGGCGGTTCTGCCCTGCCCTGTAGGGTGGCGGTGAGTCAGAATGGACTTGATTGCAGTGAGTTCAGTTCGGCTGTAACAGTGGCACAGGCGGGAGCCCTAAGAGCAGGCTGCTTTCCCTCAGCTCTGGAGGCTAGACATTGGGCTGGGCACCATTGCGCCAGGGGCACCTGGTCTTGGTCTCCCAGTTTCTGGGGCCCCTGGCACTGCGTGGCACTCAGGCCTTGTAGCTGGGTCCACAGAAGCTGTCCTTGTCTGTGCTTTCGTGAGCCACTCAGTGGGGACCAGATGAGGCCCCTCCATCCTGGGCTGTGATGACCCCAGACAGGGCCACAGTCACAGGGACTGGGACCAGTATTAGAGCGTAAAGTCGGAGCACTCGGTTTGCAGAAGCCTCGGATGACAGTGAAAGCCCAAATCTATTTGCAGAGACCCTGTGTGGATTAGCAGAGCCCTGGGGGTATAGTGGCTATGCATGTGCTGCTAACCACAAGGTCAGCAGTTCAGAACCACCCGCTGCTCCGAGGGTCAAAGAGGAAGCTTCCTGTTCTCCTAAAGCGTTAGGCTCAGAAAACCCCCACGGGCGGGCAGTTTTACGCTGTCCTGTAGAGTCATCGTTGAGTGGGAACTGACTCCATGGCAGTGAGATTGGTGTGCACCATATGGTTAGGTGCCGTCAAGTTGGCAGAACCAAACACTGCCCTGTCCTGTACCACCCACAATCGTTCATCTGCTTAAGCCCATTGCAGCCCCGGGGTCCATTCACCTCTTTGAGGACCCACCTCGTTTCTGCTGCCTCTGGAACAAACCTGATGTCCTTTTCCAGGAAGGGGATTCTTGTCATTGGGTGCCATCGAGTCAGCTGGGACCCACAGCGACCCTGTGAACCACAGAACAAACACTGCCCGTCCTCACAACGTCCCTACGCCTGAGCCCATTGGTGCAGCCTCTGCGTCATCCATCTTGTTGAAAGCCTTCCTCTCTTACACCGCCCCTCCCCTTACCAAGCACTGATGTCCTCCTCCAGGGCCTGGACTCTCCGGACAACATGTCCAAAGTAGTAAGACAAAGTCTTGCCATCCTCGCCCCTAAGGAGCACTCTGCCTTACTTCTTCCAGACAGATCCGTCTGTCCTTTTAGCAGTCCACGGTGCTTTCAGTACTCCTCCCGCCTCACAGTTCAAATGCACGGACTGGATTGAGACTCCATTAGGTTCCGTCTGACCTTGGCCCGGGATGAGAACAGTCTTACTCTCAGGCAGAGTGAGTAGGAAAGGATTACCTCCCCCCAGAACCTGCCAGGCCAGGGAGGGGCAGTCTCCAGAGGGCCTTGCTTGGGTATGTCCTGTAGCATAGTTCTGTTAAAGTCCTGTCCCAAACATGTTCCTGTTCCCCACTTATGTAGTCATACCTGTAACAATGATGCACTGATCTCGCAAATCAGACTTTCGGGACTTGCTTTTTTGACAGTTGCCTTTAGTCTGCAAGGTTGGCAGTTCGAAATCACCAGCCCTTCAGAGGGAGAAAAACAAGCTTTCAACTCCGGTAAACAATTAGAGTCTCAGAAACTCAAATGGACAGGTCTGCCCTGTCCTATAGGTTCGCTGTGAGTTGGCATCAACTCAGTGGCCGTAAGTTGGATCCTCTTTACAGCGCTCGCTCTCTCAGCAAGCCCTTGCACGCCATTATGAGTTCGTGGGAATGGGCCCCCTTATCTGGATGATGTGTCTGTATCCTGTCTAAGGCTTCAGAAATGTTCTTTTATGAGATTTGGAGTCTCTTCTGAACCTAAAACAGGATTAGGACATCACATAGCTTTTTGGAGGACACTGTTCAACCCAGACCTGCTTAGACCCCAACTGCCACTCCTAGGACGCTCTCAGCACTCAGCTGCCTTCCATCCTTTTAACAAGCTGGTTATTGTTAGATTGGCATTCCCTGGACCGTGTGTGCGCGCGCATACTTGCTCACGCTTGCTTATCCAGTGTTAGCATAAAGAAAGACGTGAAGGACAGAGAAGACACTAACAACAGAAGCTTAAGGGAGTGAGAAAAGGAACGGTGAGATTGGAATCGAAGACTGGTCCATTTTTACCTTCTTTGTACCTTGTTGTAAAGCCATGTCATTCTATTAGCTATCCCCTCAAAACCTGTGCTGGGGGATGGGTATTGTCAAAGGAGTTAATGAAAAAAGAAGTGTAGAAATTGAAAACACATGGGTTTCTTTTTTTCCACCCACCTTGTAGATAAATACAGAGTGAATTAACCAATGGTAATATTGGTATTGTAGAAAGGACTTTCAGATTCTTTTGTATATTTTCTTCTCTATGTTATAGAGAAGCATTAAAAATGTTTTTAGTAAAGCATCACATAAATCAGGGCGTGATACACAATTGAAACAATGTTTTTTTTAATGCAAGTTAAAAATAAAAGTGTCTTTGTTCTCTTTCAAGACACCGCATAAACTTGAGCTCAGACTTCTTGATCACCCCTGATTTCTACTGGGACAGGGAAAACCTGGAGGAGCTGTATGATAAGACCTGCCAGTTCCTTAGCATCGCCCGCAGAGTGAAGGTATGTACTCGGCATTTTGAGAGAGGCACCTGTTACCTGTAGCGTGTACTAACTGTGAAGATAAATATTCTAAATTTGAGTAAATGTGTCTAGCTACTCTGGGAGAAAGACCTTGTTTGACATCAAGTCTCACAGATCTCTTCACATGAACCTTTTTCCTTATTCTGCAAGCACGTCAAAACTCCTTCTGATTTTCGCTCTATAGACCAGATCGTTTGAATCAGGGCTTTGAGCCAGGTCAGCCTGGTTCAGTCATAGCTGACAAAGGGAGGGACCCAGATCTTTTTTTAATGTGAGTGAGCCGGAGCACTAACTGAAATGGAAAAAGTCACCGGGTGAAGCCCTGCTGGCAATGTGCTCATCTTAGAAAAGAAGGGCAGCCATCCGCGTTGCATAGCAACCAGATCTCTTGATCACTTGAGTTGAAAATAATAGTGCCCGGCTCAAAGATGGCGGCTGACCTCTTTGCTTTGAATGTGTGTTACTCTCCTTAGTCCTGGCAATAAGCTACTCTGTCATTTGCAGCAAGCTCCTGAAAGGGCTCAGGACTCAGTCGTCTTGGGTTTAGCAGTCTATGACTTCTACCCGTGGTTTTCCCCATTCCAGTTAGCATTGTGGATCACCTAATTTTTTTTTTTAATGGGGGGGTCTACTCCAGTTTTGCATTGTCAGCCATGACTAAGCAGGTTCAAATCAGTTTGAAACCCTGATTTGGAGACCTAGTGATCCACTGGAAGTTTTAAGCATGACGAGTTCACGGGGGTCCTGAAGTTAAATGGTGAGCCTGAGAATAGAAATGAATCTTAAAGAACCCTTTAAGGTGAATCAGGTGGCTGATGCTTGCCTATAGTGATGGGCAGAAAGGTAGCACTGCTCGGAGAGCCAGAGAGGGTGAGTCGTGAGCTAAATGTAGACGTGCTGAAAAAGGTAGCAGCAAAGCGTCCCAATAGAGTTACCTGGAGGGCACTTACAAGTGGGGAGCAATGCTGAGAAAAGACATCTCTGACAAGCCAATGCTGGAGAGGGCATTGGTGGAAATAGACTACGTGGACAGGTTGGTGCAATCGTGCCACCACAGGGCTGTGTAACCAGACAAGTAGAGAAAACTCTTCTATCCGCTCTCCCTCATGCAATTTGTTGCTACTGGTTTTTAGCTTCCAGAAGGTTATGTGAACACTTTTTGGAATTCTATTTTGGTTTCCATATATTGTCTCTGATGTATCTGTTTGCAGAGCTGTTTGGGTGATTGAGTGATGGTACCTACTGCCTTCCTTCCACCTTTTATCAGATGAAGTGAGTTGTACATCCCCTTACGCTTCCCCCATTTGTAACATACCTTTATAACACACTTGTTTTCAGTATTTCCTCGGCAGACATTGGGAACCACATCAGTGTTCTAATTTTTGCTTCAATCATCAATTTAGAAATTAGTGAAGGGGCGTATATCTCGGGCATATTACCAAGAACCTACCCCTGGAGATGTTTTGTATCTGCCCAAATTTTTATTCTTTCTATCCTTCTTGATATTCTAACATTAAAAAAAATTTTTCCTTTTTCTAGAAATTTTCTTAGCTAAAATGATACCCTAAAAATGGTTGAGAATTTTGTTCTCGTCAAGTAAGAAAATATTTTTCTTGGGAAATTGAGTTGTAGCTTATGCCGTGAGAATGTCACTGTGGACTGAGAGGTCCTTGAACTAAATCTGATTTACCATTCATTCCTCAAATTCATGCTTCCAGTCCACACCTTCAATTTAACTTTAGGATGCCAGCAGACGAGAAAATCCACTTTCATTTTTCTCAAGGAGCTGCATTTGAAGATTCCTTTAAGTTAAATTATCTCGCCAAATGAAACGATTCTTTCACGTCTGGGCCAGGAACTAGGGCAGCACAAGTAAAATAGAAGTAGCAATATGTTAAGGGGCAGAGGGAGTTAGGGGAAACTGAAGCTGCCCTCGTGGGGGTCCACCCCTCCCTCCCTTACAGCACAGTCTGGGAGGAGGAGGAGGAGGAGGAGGTGGAGGTAGAGGTGGAAAACAGCAGAGACTAAGTGGGCTCTGGCTCGGGTCCAGGCCTGGAGGGGCAGGTGTGTGGACAGGTGCCTGGGAGAGATCAGTGCCTGCCACAAGCATGGCAGCCACATGCATGTGCACTACCTTCCCCTCCCTAGAGCAGATTTATAGATCGTTTCTGAAAACTCTGAACCAGTGCCGTCTTCCTGTGTGTCCTCCTAGCATAGACACATGACGACTGATGTACAACAAACAGTCCATCTTCCCAATATAAAATACAGTCACTGTTAAGTTGCTTCTGCTCAGGGCAACACCACATGGGTCCCAAGAGAGCTATGCTCCCGGGGGCTCTCCATCGAATTGTTGAGGAGTACATCCCTGGGGCATACCTCTGAATTCCAGGCTTGGCAAAGAATGTTCCAGGTCCTGTGAACTGCCTGAAGAATGGACAAACCTGTCTAGGAAGACGTGCCAGCAGAGTGCTCTTGAGAATAAGGGCGATGTTGGCAGGAGGAACCTGACCCTGGAGGACAGGCACCTTGCGCGTGGTAAAGGAGAGGGTCAGTATAAGGAGTAAGAGCTCAGCAAGCGGACGGACATGGCGGCTGCCACACTGAGGGTGGTGCAGGACCGGCAGCGCTGCCTTCTGCTGGGCCCAGGGTCCCTGAGTCGCAGTCAACTCATTGGCACCTAACAACCACATGAACGATCAATCACCAGGTTTCCCTCCCAGGGTGCCCCCCAGTTAGCAGCTGAGCACATTCTTGGCACCACACCGGAGCTCCTCAAACTCCGAAGTGCCCGAGCCTCCAGACCACAGTCACAGCGAATTGTCCTTCCTCTGACTGCAGCCTCACACTGAGACATCTCTCTGGTTCCAAAGTCTTCCCCGGGGATATGAGACAGAACTAAAGTCCCCACACGACATTTCCCGAAGTTGTTTCTCAGCGTCCCAAAGACCGTGGAGGCTGCTTTGAGTTTGTGGAGGTGATTTCGGGAATATTCAGGGTTTTAGTCCCAAATAGGACCGGGCTCCACACCGCGCGGAGACTCCGGCTGTCAGCCGGCTCTAGAGTCTGACGAGAAGTCTGACAGACAGACAGAACTGAGAAGGGGCTCTTAGCACTAGAGCAATCTGTTTCTTGTTCGTTTTTCCCTCTAGATCAGCGGTTCTCAACCTGTGGGTTGCGACACCCCCCACAGGGTCGAATGACCCTTTCACAGGAGTCGCCCGATTCATAACAGTAGCAAAATGACAGTTATGAAGTAACAACAAAACGAATGTTATGGTTGGGGGTCATGAGGAAGGCGGAGAACCACTGCTCTAGATGAAGAGTCTTGAGGAATAGAAGTGGTTAGGCATGAGATGTGGTGAAATGCAGGCGGAAAAAAGGTGAGACCATTAGTTTCATTTGATATTTGGGAAAGCTTCGAGGAGCCCTGGTGGGCTGCTGACTGCAAGGTCAGCCGTTCTAAACCACCTGCCGCTCAGTGGAGAAAGACGGGTTTTGCTCCCATAAAGAGTTGCAATCTTGGAAACTCGCAGGGACTGTTAGACCGTCCTACCCAGTTGCTGCGAGTTGGCCTCTACTCGATGACAGTGGGTCTGGTTTTTGTCTGTGAGAAAAGGTCACCGAGAGTTCCAGGCGCATAGTAGGGAGCGAGAGCAATATGCTTGGCTCCCAGCGCCTGCCCTCTAAGCTGCTGTGCTCCAGGCGTCTGGCCCGGCTTCTCTCCTCTCCTCTCCTCACGCCGCCTCCACCACCAACAGCCTGCTGCTTCTCCACGACATCTCCTGTTGCTAATGATTTCCAAACCTACGTCTCTCACCCGTCTCTCTTGCCTCGGCGTGGTAAGGATCAGCATGAATCCAGTCGCCTAAGTACAGAGTGACACCGGTCTTCACGTTCCTTTCTGAGCGGCTGGCCTCCACTGGCCCTTTGGGCTCAGTCACTTGCTGCCTAGGAAAAGGCGTGGGAGTCTCTTGTTCAGAGTGGGGCTTCCTTGTCCCAGGGCACTCACTAGCAGCATTCTTCCCAACCAGGAAGCTCTCCGAGCCTGTGTTCAGGGCCTTTAGCAGCCAGTCTGCTGATGGGCTCAGTCCTGGCTCCTGAGCCAGCCGGCCGATAGCGGCCTCCTAGTGGAGCCTTCTCTGGTCTGGCCATGTGTTTGCAGAGCCCCTCGTTACTGTAAGGCTCCTTTCTCCAGAGCCAAGGGCAAAGTCCACTTCACTTGGACCAAGACTAGCTATTTTGTGCTACAGCCTTTCTTGATGCTCCCAGTTGCTTGCCGCATCCCACAGATCCTACAGAAGTCCTGTCTGCTGCTTGCTTCAGCGACTTTCTTGTGTCGGCCCCATTAGAAGGTAAGCCCTGTGAGGTCAGAAACGGATTTTCTTCCCAGGACCTGGCAACGGCCTCACATATAAGAGGTGTTCAGTGACCACTTGTAGAGTTAACCAGTGATTGAGAATCCAAAGGGAAGCTCCTTCTTTTCTCCCGTGAAGTTGCCTCTGGTCTCATTGGTTCCTGGCACTCACCTAGCCTCCCTACGCAGCCCCACAACCAGCTCCCTCCCTGGCTCTTGAAAAACCATCCTGGTTCCGCTGTCTAGTTCACCCTTCACAGCCAGCCTCTTCTCCTAATCTCATTCATTTGCTGACAGATCCTTATTGAAAGTGTATGTTAGACTCTGGCTGGTGCGACAGGGACAGATCCCACCCTGGCCCCTACCTTTAAGGCCCCCAACTATTAATATCTATCCCCCATGGCCTATTGTCTCGTTACACCTTCTCCACTGTCTCCCAGCTTCCAGGCCGGCCCTTCCCCTGCTGCTCCTGCACCCTTTGGCCAGGGGGTAGAGACCGTCTGTCTGTCCAACACAGGAAATACTATTTGAATTCTGAGGGAAGTGGTCCCTGTTGAGTCGCGTTCTAGCATGGTGTACTTGTTTCCTGTTTCTGTGACAAATTACTATAGGGCAGAGGCCAGAAGTCCAGCATGGGCCTGGCCGGGCTGGGCCTTGAGGTCTTTCCGGAAGGCCATTCCCTTGCCTTTTCCAGCTCCGTCACTGCCCAGGAGCCTGGGTTTATGGCCCCTTCCATCTGCCTGGGGGTGGGGGTGGGGGGTGGATAGGCATCCTCCTCGGCCTGCCCACTCTGCTTCTCTCTGCCAAGATTAGCACCCATCCAGAGAACCTAAGAGTACCTCCCCATTTTAAGGTCAGCTGACTAACAATGTTAATTCCATCAACAGCCTAGTTCCCTCTTGCAATGTCACCTAACAGCACTGTCATGGGCTCCACAGGGATGCTTAGGAGGGAATGTCTCGTCAGTCTGTTTTCCACATGGTAAGCAGTACCACTTACAAGCTTACCTCTCCCACCTCACTGCCTCGTTTTCCACCCCGTTGTGCTTGCTGCCAGGCTATTGCCTGGACTCACATTGCTACCCCCTCCTGTTCTTGGCAGCAACCACTGCAACACCAATTCCTGCCTCCCCCAGAAGCCTAGGCCTAGCTCCGTCTCCTCCCCACCTACAGTCATGGCGCAGGGAGCGGGCAAGGCTGAGGGCTGGGTGGTGGAGTCCTGTCAGGCACAGGTCTCGGGCTCCCTTCAGCCTGTCTTCCCCTTTCAGGGTCTCCATGAGGGGGGAAGAACAGGGTGGGAGAGGGGCCTGGCTCTGCTGGTCATGGCAATAAGGGAATTGGCCGGGGTGGTGGGTGCCTTGGTTTGCTGGTGCTTCTATATCAGATAAGCCTCACGTTGTTGTTTCCAACTCGTAGCATAGAATGCAATACTGCCCGCCCACTCGGTGGTGTGAACCCACCGACGCAGCCGCTCTGTCAAATGTATCTTGTCCTGGGCCTTCCACTTTCTCGCTGCCCCTCGCCTCCACCAAGCATGAGGTCCTTTTCCAGAGATGGGGCCTCCTGACACCATGTCCAAGCTATGGGGCCTCGGCTTAGCGGAGTGACTGCTCTTCCTCCCAGCTCTGTTGGCGCCACATCCCCGTCGGGCACAACCGTGTGTCAGTGCTCCCTGTGGGCGCACGTGTCTGGGTAACCAAGTGGTTAGACTTGCGGCCTGCCCTATACCAAGGCGGCCCCCCTAACCCAACAAATGGGAACCCCCCCCCTATTCCCAAAGGGGATCCCAGTGACAGAGAGTAGAACTGGGATTTCCACAGTTGGAGAGGACACAAATCAGTCCGTGACCATTGGCTTCACCTCGTCTAGTACTGCCCATGGGCCCCTGGGCTTGTGTGTCTCCATCCTCCCAGGTGGCAGCATTGTGAATAGTAGAAAAACAGCTTCCCCAAAAGAAGGGGCAGAAGGGAAGGTTGCTGAGCAGACGAGGACGACTCAAGGAAGTGCTTTCCTGTGGAGCCGAGCAAAGGGGGCTCAGCACTGGGCAGGTGGCCGCATCACATGGCCTGAGGTGGTTTCCGTTCAGGGGAAGGGAGCAGTACAATCCCAGCTTGAGGGAGGGAGACAGGATCCAGCCTGTTTTTAGAATTAAAAATGTGTCAGTGTTTGAAAAAAGAAAACACTTTGGAAACCTAAACACGCACGCACGCACACACGCACGCACGCACACCCCCACGGTCCCATGCAGGTGATTGAGCGCAGCAGGCGGTCTGTCATCCCAGGCCAGCCGGGAACCTGACTCCACGCAGTAGGGTGGGGCTCGGGATCAACTCCTCCTGCTCTCCTGTGCACGAAGTTGCCCGGAGATACTGGTAGAATTGCCATGGGGGGTGCCTCACAGGCAAGGAGGTTCAGTCTGATTGGTCCTCTGTTTGTGACTTGGAGTGGGACAAGAACCCGGCATTGTGACACTGAAGCTCAGAGACAGGTGATGTCCCCCGTCTTGCTCTCGGAGCTTGTCTCGTACAGCCGGATGTCTGCCCTGCTTCGTGCAGTCTCACATTGTGGTTCTAAACCGCAGTTGGCACCTGGGTGGGCATTTCCTGTGGCTTTCCTCCTGAGAGTGTGGGGAACACCCCCTCCTGTCTCCACCCCCAGCCCTTCTGAGTCTTCGGGTGGCACTGCCCACCCACGATTAAATCCCTTCTTTGGTTTTTGAAGGGTCCCACTTAGTGTCAGTCACACGAGAGCCACCAACACGGTTTCTGTTAGAACATCTTGGCTCGGTTCCCAAAGACAAAAGGAAGCATCCCTGCAGTGGGGAGTGGGGGAGTGCTGCCTGCATCCTATTGCGTGGAGTCGGTTCCCTGCTGGCCTGGGATGACAGCCTGCTGCGCTCAGTCACCTCCTGCATGGGACCCCGGGGGCTTTGGGGAGGCTCAGAGGAGTCTGGGGAGTTGTAAGACATACCACTGATGAAGGGTTAAGGCACACACTGGGGATGAGGAAGGGGGTGAAGAAAGTGTTCTTTTTTACTGTTTTATTAGCACTTTATCCACACATACAACTCAATAATCCATTCATATCAAGAGTTGTACAATTGTCATCACATTTAGAAAGTGTCTGTTCTTTAGTTAAAACCAAACTCACTGCATGTCAATCCTAACGAGCAACCCTATAGGACAGGGTTAGAACTGCCCTGAGTAATTCCTGAGGCCTTAAACATTTATGGGAGTAGAAAGCCATTTGTCCCACAGAGCAGCTGATGGCTTCAAACTGCTGACTTTGAGGTTAACGTTCCAACAAGTAACCAGTGCGCCCCAGGACTCCTATTCTTTAGTTGAGGTTGAAAGTACAAACGTCCGGGTTGGGGGTCAACCTGTAGGAGGAAGCAGCAGCAAGTTTAGAGCAGCCTGTAGGACAGCGAAGGGGCGGGACAGTGTTCTGAGCCCGGTATGGATCAGAATGCCAAGTGTGTGGGGCCGTCAGCGAGGGGGTGCTGCCTGTGCCCCCTCTCGGGTGAAGCAGGGGTCCTGCTGGGCGGTGCCCAACCCCTGCCAGTCGGTGTGGTAGCCACTACCTCTGCTGGTTTGTAATTGCACCCCAGAAGGAATTGGAATCAAACTATTTTTCAAAATTGCTTCCAGGCTCCATTTCTGGAGGCAAAGTGACAAGCAAGGAGCCCACTTCTCAGTCTCAAACCCAAGGTCCTGGGAACCCTCCCGGCAGCATCTTCCGTGTAGGATGGGAAGCGCTGCCATCTGGTGGTGGGCGCGCCACAGCGCCGGCTCGTCGGTGGTGGGGACCTTACTTTGAATCGGTGTTTTAGGAGGTGGCAATTTGTTTTTTTGGTCATCTTCCCAACCACTTGCCATTGAGCCAACTCTTGTAATTATGTTCAAATCGTGTTTCAAGTTTGCCTTTAACGGCTAAAATCCCAAGGCCAGCCACCCACAACTAGCAACTCAAAATCTTACCCAAGGACTGAACCTCCAAATGGCCCTAGGTCTTTCTTCAAAAATCCTGTAAGGCTCTGAATGCCAGGTCTTTCTTGCAGTTGAGCCTGGGCTTTGCACCGTGGACTCTGGGTGGGCCCACCTGCAGCCGGGCCAGCATGGTGGAGGGCTGGCAGCAGGAGCTGCGGGGCACGCGGTGTCCCCGGGGGAAAGCCTTCCTTCGGCCTCTGAAGACGACCGGCCGGCCGTGTGCGTGCACCCCCGCAGGAACTCTCTCCTAACTCAGGTCATGAACGAGAAGCTGCAGCACTGCATGGAGCTCACGGACCTCATGCGCAACCACCTGCACGAGAAGCGGGCGCTGCGCCTCGAATGGATGATCGTCATCCTCATCACCATTGAGGTAGGGCAGCCCCGACACGAAAGCAGGAGGGCGCTGAGCAAGCTCACCTGGCTCTTGGGAACCGAGGTCAGGGGTCCAAGATTTATGGCGCACACTCCTAAATGCTTCCAAGTTTCACTTCGAGAGGCTGGTGGTCGAGCACACCTGTGGGCTAGTTTCCAATGTCCGACCCACCTGCGCCTCAGACCCGCGCGTCCTGCGCCTACCTCAGACCATTTCTGCAGTTACTATCTTGGGCAAGTCATCATTCGTACTGGTAATTGTTTTACCATGAAATTAATCCTCCTCCCTCTTTATTGCCTTAAAGGTCATGTTTGAGCTGGGACGAGTGTTTTTCCTCATCAAGTAACCCGGAAGGAGAAATGGCATAGCAAGCCGGCTGTGGTTGCACGTTCTCCAGTCAAAAACAATGTCCCCGTCAGGGTGATCCTCAAAGTATGTAACTCTAAAAGATCAACTGTCATAAAACTATCCAAAGATGACAGTACTGCCTGAATAAAAACGCTATGCCTGACCGTTGTTCCAAAGGAAACTTTTGTTTCCAGCTCAAAGACTGGAGTAACGGAAGTGTCTGGGGAATCGGACTTCTTGAAACTGAAAGGATTAGGTGTTTGGGTCCCATTCCTCAGCCTCATCCCAGGCACAGCTCTGGCTGTGTCCCCCACACACCAGCCAGGTTGAGGGCCCAGCTGGCTTGTCTGTGCCCTTGTTAGGAGTGATTGGAGGGCAGCTGGCTCACTGTCCACTTCACCTCCCATTGTTTTCTCACCTTTTCCCCAGTTTTAAATATTTTGGAGATTGAAAGCCAATTGGACACTTTTATACGTATCTTGAATTGACAAGACACACAAAGCCTGTGTATTTTCACCTCCCTCCCATGCACACAGAACTGGCCCTGCCCAGCCCAGGCCCGTTGGGATGAACCTAGGGGTTCCATTTTCTTCTTTCACACACTCGTACTTGTACCCACGAGCACACCTCCTCATTCTGAAACACCAATGGTCGTTTTGCACCTTTGCTTACTGCTGGATGGTACACTCCAGGAGAATATTCTAAGGCAGCAGTTCTCAACCTGGGGGTCAAACAACCCTTTCTCGGGGGTCACTCAATCCATAACAATAGCAAAATTAGTTATGAAGTAGCAATGAAAATAATTTTGTGGTTGGGGAGTCACCACCACATGAGGAACTGTATAAAAGGGTCACTGCTTTAGGAAGGTTGAGAACCACTGTTCTAGGGGCACTTAGGTATGCTTGCTACACGAACATGAAATGAACAGGTCCCTGTCATTTTCAGCATATTGCCATAGCACCTCCATCTCCAGAGGTACCTGGGTGGTTCAAACATGATCAGCACTTCCACAAAATGGACATGGGCATGCCTGCAAATGCACCCGTAGCCAGGGTACCAGGCCTGGTCTCCCTCACCTTCAGTGCTCACAACAGGCGTCTCAACCACCTGGAACCTGTTGGATCCATTGCTCAAAGTTTAAAATCTCTTGGAAGCCCAAAACTAGTATCTGAGACGATGATGCCACTGTTAACGAGCCCCACCCCAACCCATTAATAAATGCGTTTCCATGTATGCAATTTAGCTGTTTTGGTTGGTTGGTTGTTTTGAGGGGTGGGGGGTTGCTCAGCTATACACGTCTTAGTTAACCAGTAGCTTAACCAAGAATAACATTTAATGACAACATTTCCATTTCTATACAATATGAAAGACCCACCAGCAAGGCTTTTCCATCTGTTTATTAGGATACAGTTGGGGGGGGCGGGGGGATGACAACATAGTTTACAGGGCAAAGAGGCAATATAAATCCAAACAATTTACTTAGGTTTAAATAGATCATGTTAGACATCAAATCATGGTATCCTAACATTCCACTAAATAGACTGAAAAGTGATACAGTACAGTATTTATGAACCATTGGGAAATTACATCTTTTTCAGTTACTTTGGATAAAAGCTTCAACTGAAATTCTGGAAGTTTTACAAATTAGGGCATTCAGTAGCATCTTGGCCTCCATCCACCAGATGTCAGTAGCACCCTCCCTGTGCTTCCAGACCTCACTGGTAAAACCCCACTGGAGGAGAGCCACTGCTGGGGGTCAGCACCTAGCCATGGACTTGCTAACTCCCTGGGAATAAGGTCAGTCCAGTCTCTTGCTCATCGTACAGTAAGCCTGTTACAAACACTATATCCATTGCCCTGAATTATTTAATCTTCACAGCCAGCTAGGTCAGACTCCGAAGTGGTGCAGCCAGGCCAAGATTCCACTGCAGGTAGGCTGGTAGAGCTGGGCCCCTAAGGGCTGAGAGAGAAGTCTGCTGGAGTGACCCACCCACTCCTCCCATCACTCTTTCAGGCACTAGCATTCATACAGACGGTGCCCAGATTAGTGAGATCCCTTCCTTAAGATGGGTCTTTAAGGAAGTCCAAACAAGTACAAAAGGTGGTTAGTCTTTGGTGCAAAAAAGATGAAGCAAGTGGAGGGGATTGTGAATTTGTGGTGCGTGGTGGCTGTTTCGAGCAAGGGTCAATGTACTTAGCATTCAAGCATCAGCAGGGGCTGTCAGTAAACTGGGAGCCAACAATCTGAGCTTTCCTGGTGGTGTCTTAATTATTGCCACACTACCGCCTATAGGAAAGATGGCACCTAGGAAAGCACTTCGCAATCACACAATGCCAACTTCAAAAGGGTCTCCCTGGAAGTTTGTGGGAGCCAGTTAGGCTGGAGGAGTGGTTCCCTCTGGCTGCTCAGCAGGTGACAGTCAGAGATCCAGGCATACTACCACGCAACAGCTAGCCCCACCCCATCCCTTGCAGTCCAGCATCTTCCTCCACTGTATACATACCATCACCACCACCACCACCCCCAGTGTGCGCAGTTTTAATATACACACTACTTCCCATGTATGTAAATTTCTGCATAAAGCAAAGATGGGCACCCTCATTAAGCAACCCAGGTCATTCTTCGCTGCCCAAACTCAAGAGACCGATGGTTTGGCTAACAGTACCTGCACCGTCCAAACAAGGGCTGAGCTTAGGAACCCAATTAGATTAGTAGGGGGGGGGGGGGTTGACAATCTTACCGAGAACTATTCATAGTTATATACCATGGAGGCGTGGGGTGAGATGGGGTTGTGTGAGAATAGAGAACAGCGCGCGCACACGGGGGTTGTCCTCAGAGATGATTTCTGCCACCCCTTCATAGTGACTGGGCCTTGTATTTAAAAAACCTATGTACTGGTTCCAATGCCTGCCATCTCAAAACAGTAAAAGGCAGTATTAAAATATCTGTTGCCAAGTGGTCTGAAAATGTTTGCGTGCCCCTGGTACCAAAGTGCAAGGTCGGCGCAGACGGATGGGAGTCCCGGCTCCCCCCACCAAGTCACGTCACCAGGCACATAAGCCAGCAGTCCTGAAGACTCCACTTCATCTGGAGAACAGAGTGACTTTACCCAGCCAGGACCTTCGGATGGCAGGAACTCCAGGGGCTGGGCTGGGGTCCATTACATGAAAACCCATGACTATGCTTTAATTCTCACCAAACAGCACCAGTGCTGAGTGCCGCTGGCTCTTCCTACTTTGAGGAAGACTGCCCCATAAGGACAGGTGGTTTCCTTTAGTCCAATCGCCTTGAAGACAGGGACTGAGTCTCATTCTTTGTTAATGACTGCTCACTGCCAAGGGCACAGAACAAGGGTTCCAGCATGCGTCCCGCAGCACCAGCACTGCTGCACCTGGGCCTCGCAGGCACCTTGAGGCTACAGTGACACCGACCTACGTGGATCAAGAACCTCACTGTGTGAAGACCCTCAAATTATGTATTTCACAGTCCAGGGCTGTGAAAGATTCACTGCCATCGAAAGCCTCGGACCTCAGTGTCCTCATCACGAAGGCATAGATAGAATCAAACATTATAAGGAAACTTATAAACACCAAGTTCAGGTTTTCTCACAAAATAAGTTATTTACGAAAGTGTTCCATCATAAACATTAGCTTTCTCTAGGTCATCAATGGTCTAAACAGGATCAACTCACGGTGACCCCTTGTGTCTGGCGGGACCCCTGAGCTGGACTGGAACACTAGGGCCTCTGAGCTCTTGCTGGACCACCTTAAACCTCGACCCAGAGGCGGCCTGTGGTGATGGGCCCACTGAGAACACAGCCTGTCCGATGTCCACATCCTGGCTGCGATTGGGGTTCCACAGGTGTCCAGACATGTAGCCATGGGGGAAACTGGGTAAAGGACACGAGAGAGCTCTCTATTATTGTTGCTACAGTATCTTAGGCCTGTATTTGCAGCTAACAAGTCTCCAGTTTTTCTAATATTTAAAACTTGGAACAGAGAAAAATGTTGCTGTGTAATGAATGCGCCCAGAGTAAGCAACCCGTGCTCCCTGGGCGGACCGAGTATGGAGAGATCACTTAGTCCGTCCGCACCCCCCCACCCCCGGCGTCCCTTCACTGTGACGGCGGGGCCAACCACAGCTCTCCCTGACCTGGCCAGGACACTTGCTGCTGTCAAAGTCACAGAGTTCTACAAGAGTACAAAAAGCAGGAGATGCGTTCAAAATCATTGCTGCTCGGGGTCTGTGGCATCACTGGTCCCCGCCAAGGCTGGTGCCTAAGACGCCCGGAGTTTCTTACTCCTCCCCCCACATCAAAGGCTACAGCGTGGTTAGCTCCAGTGTTCACACTACCCAATTCCGTGACAAAAAACTCTGACAAGACCGACCGATGGACAGTCTGTTAAGATAAATACTCATTCACAGATAAGAAAAACCAAGTGCAGTATACTTTCCACAGAATTTCAAGAGTTGAGAAAAACAGAGAAATCTAGCTCAACCTTAACTTTTCTCAGCCTCCCAGTTTTAAAGACCCAGTAAAATGAAGACCAACGAGTGAGCCCAGGGCTAGGAGCTGCCCTCCCTGTGTCAGAATGGAGACTTCAGGAGGAGCCTGCACGCTGCACACCCTTCTTCTCGCCATCCCGCCAAGTGTTAACTCCAGAAGAGTCAACAAAATCTCCGGTTCCAGTTTGCCTTTGACTAGAGCAAAGTTGCTTGTATTGAACATGAAAGTTGACCCCATGGGATAAGCTTTTTACTAAAGAAAGGCAAACTTAAAAAAAACTTATTACAAAAATAGTTGGTTTTTTTTTCAGTAAGCCAGCAGCCTGACCCCAAGCTGCCATTCTGGTCCTTTAATGTGACCTCAAGCTCTTTACAGGAACTTCAAAAATTCATGGAAACGTGGAATTAACCTTTAACCCGAAGGCTCCTGTATTACACCCTTCCTCAAACCCCATAAAGGCAGCCTGGCCCCAGAACGTTCCTACTTCACAACACATCAAACGTAAGGCCCCTGGACCGTGCAGGAAAACCCTCACGTTGTTGGGGCCCAGCGGACTGCTGCGAATGCAAGAGTCCAGAATTCCGAAATGCAGGCGCCTTGTGATGCTACAGGTGACTGCTCCAACCTGCTGCAGGCTGGCGATGTGTCCCTGTAG